GTTTGTGTTTAATAGTGACTAGTGATATCCAACAGCCAGAAAATAAATTTCCAAAAACAAATAATTGCCTTATTGCTGTCTAATAACCTTCGGTTTTACGTAGTGATGAGTAGATTGTGATGTTGTAGTAGATGCATACAAATGGTTGGTATAAAAACATTTATAACGACAAAAAGTCGTGAATGGGTTTGCGTAAGAACGCGTTAAAATAAACATATCGTTTAACGCATGTAGCAATCAACTTCCCGTCTGTCACCTGTGAGTTGACAACCGGTTCATGCAGGTAGTCGTTAGAACTTGAGGGAAGAGCTCCTACTGTTTCGTCAGTGTTGATGAAATAACGAACTTACGTTATCACATCGGTGATATAAAGCAGACGGCAATGCTTGCCGGCTACGGTTGACGTCAACATGTGCCGAGTGGAAATTTTCCCGTTACAATTTTCATGTCGGTCGTTTTGGAGAATGGGAAACTGTAGAGCTTCCAGTAATTTCAAGAAGACTTACCCACACCAATCAAGATTATCTGCTAGTTGTAGTCCTGAGATATCTCTTTCATGACGAGCTTTTTCGAGGAGTTGGAAGGTATCTACGATTATGATGAATATAAAGATAGCGAGTGAGAATACGATAGTGATATGTAACGTCATTTCATATTGTTTGAGGCTTTTCTCTGACGCCGTAAATCTGGGGGCTGGGTGTTCTGGTTATCTCCAGAATCCGAATTACAGATCTAGCCAGTTCGTCCACGGCGTTATTCTGAAATAAATCAAGAACCACTTGCACCCATCGTGGAAAAGCTGTTTAAATAGGCTTTCGTCAGGATCTGTAAACCCCTGACCTCTCACATACGTAGCAACATTTCTGTTGCCAAGCTGTGTCTCAACTCCATAATGTAGAAGATTTGATCTAACTTTTGTCGGTTGGTTAGGTGTTACGGGAGAACTAAAGACCGTCGGCAAATTACAACCTTTATCTTGTATATTCATAATTTAACTGTGTTTTTTGAATGTATTTGTTTTACTCTGGGAACCTAAAAAATTAAAGGTTTGTTTGCAATTGTTATAATTATTGTTGTGAGAACGACATTTGGTCGACTATTTGTGAATTGCGAATAAACTTGGTATCTAAATTGGAGTTTGGCTCTGTTGTTTATTTGGGTTCGTAATTTGCAATTAGGTCGACACACCGTACTTCAGTAACTGCAACGAGCAAAACTTAGACATAACATTATGTCTACACGCCTAAGGATAGCCTTTTTAATATTTCGTAAGGTTCCGAAACATCACTAATAAACATACTAGGTTCAACGTACCTGTTAAAATCGCGCGTCAGTGCTTTCATTACGGCGAAGAATTGTGTACGTGTTTATCACGCCCTGCTCGTGGAAGTCAACTCCTGAGTAGCAAAACCAAGCCTCAATATTATCGGGTTAGAATGGCATGAGTTGAAGGGTAAGAGGCAAAAAAACTTAGATGTCTGTTCTGCCATGATGAATATAAAGAATACCAATGAACGAAAAAAACATCAGAAAATTTGAAAACAATATCACAATATGTAAAAATAAAAATTAGGAAACGATGTATAATATTCCGTTGGTTGACCATTTATGAGGACCTCCACATCTGAGGGGAGACACGAAATACAAGAAACAGCTTGGAATAAACTAGATGATATGGAATTAGCAGATGACCAGGTTCTTCTATCTCATGCAACCGAACATTCCGACAACAACCGAACTGCATCATGAGGCAAGCACAAACTTGGAATCCTAAAGGGAAAAGGAAAAGAATGTCAATTAATACACTGCGTGGATAATCGAAACCAGACATCTAAAGGATGAATAGAAACTGCAAACAACTTGAAAGAACTACGCGGGACGGAGTTTGATGGAGAGTGCTGATGAGCGGCCCATGCTCTTCCATGAGGGGGAACGGGCGTTATTAAGTAAGCAACAAGAAACAGTCTCACAGTTTAGGACTTAGTGTACCAGATCACGTCGGTCTCACCATTGACGATACCATAAGTATTCGGTGTTTAAAAACGCCTTAACTAGCAACACTTTTATGCTCAAAGTATACCGACTCCGTCAAATCGGAAGTCAGGAATGAAGGAATTCGAAGATATATTTAGAAAGCTATTGAGATGTTAAGAAGCGTTTGGTTTAAACTGATTAACAGTTAAAAGGATTGCGAGGTTCGGCATACCCACTCGTGATCTGTTGCCTTCAGCTAGGGTGTGTCTAGTAAAACTAATGAGGTCGGCACCAATGTCGAAGGCCTATTGAACTATTTGTGCTTGCCAAACCCAGGAAACTTGTACCAGATAAGTTTAAAATCGCTAGAACCAAATTTAGCTGCATGCTACAGCAGGGTATTATCTGTCCTTCTGATAGCCAATAGGCGTCACCCCCACACATGCTCCCTAAGAAAAATGGAGATGGCTGGCTACTGTGGGGAAGTTACAGACCCCTCAACTGTCAGATTGCATTAGATAAATACCCCGTGCATAGCATCAATGGTTTTACAAACGTATACAGGGTATGAATATATTTAAAATAATTAACTTGGTCGGGACATATCACAATGTTCTGGTAACTGAGCGAGATATACCTCAAAAAGCTATTGCTGCACCTTACGGACTGTTCGAGTTTGTACAAGCTTGAGGAATCCGGCACAAATGTTTCTCAGTTTTGGACAGCCTTCTTTGCGCAAGGGTCACTATACGATTTATTTATTGCCAGTCTGGATTTAAAATTACATGAACAACAAATAAGGTCTGTGTTTGGAGTCCGAACTTTGGAACTTCTCGGACAAAGCACAAACTTAGAAAGCATTACACCTATCGGAGGAGAGTAGGGCATCAATAAGCAATACTCCATACCAAGTTCTCCAACACAACTTAGAAACTTTCAGGGTTTAGTAAACTTTTATCGTCGATCCATAACTGGGTCTGACAACCAGTGTAACTACTGACAGACACCACCAGAAACCGAGAGATTTTAAGTTGACTTATTATTACCGCTATCCATAAGGGGCTTTTGGTACGTATATGCTGTGAATATACCACTTTGAGTTTCGTCAGAAATGCAACTACACACAGGTTTCAATGATATTTAAATAATATTTGCCATATTCAAACGGGTTCTGTAGAGTTTAGAATAATAGTGAATCGATTAAGAGGGAAAAAAGGAAGGAAAAGTGAAATTGTAAACTATTCAATGAGTATGTCCTGTGAAACAGGGTAAGAATACACTGTAAATTATGTATCACCAAAATAATTAAAAAATAAAGAGTTGTGTGGTAGGATTCGATGGTCCGCTAAGAGCTAATGAAGTATAGTGATGAAATGAAACTCTCAATTATTTGCAAAGAACAATCGTCGAACATCAGTATGTATGAGGTCTTTATACGTGGTAAAGATAAAACAGATCTAAAAAGTGATACGAGATGTTGTTTTCTAAATAAAAACTTTGGATTGTTGGGAATGAAATTTATGTAGAAGAATGGGAGATAGAAAAGAATGTCTCATATAATAATAACATATTTCTGCAATGGCAGGTACACGCCATTTTTAAAGGCATGTTCTATAAATTAAAACATTTATTGTTACACAGTTTGCATGTTAAATAAATATAGTCTATAAAAGTTAATATCAACTCATTCCTTCAGATATACTGAGCAACCTTCAAAATATTCGGAATGAATATGAACATAAGCGGGCTTGTGATATTTGCATGAAAAGATTGAAAAAACAAATCGAATTTAAAGCATTCTACTTCGTTTCACGGTCAATAGAATCGCGTTCTCTGTGTTAGTAGAAGTTATGGGATTAGGTGACATCCCATGTTAAAACTTACCTTTTTGTAGTTAATCCTGAGCCTTCCGAAAATGGACAACAGAGGAGAATATGTTGCAAGAAAACTTGTGGTGTATGCTACTTATGTCGACACACATATATATTAGGAAGAGTAGGTCTATAGAAGAGATTGTGAACACCAACGCATGGGTCAGTCCGTGGTGTGCGATCAAGTGATGCGCGTTGGTTGTCCCTGAATTTGAAGAGGTTCGGTGAACTGTTCAGCACTCAGTGACCCGGCTGCCGTATGATTTGTCTAGGGGCAAGTGATATTTCTTTGCCCTACAGTAGTATGCAGCACCAATTAGAATTGGGAAGCCTGATAGTAGTAGGTTGAGAAGATCGAGATAAAGAGAAGGGAGATGTAAACAAAAAGTAATTGTAGTAACAGTGAAGGAACGATGAAGTTTGATATGATTGATCCAACATTTGCAAAAGAAGTATTTCATGTATGGCTCTTCACACTTAAATTTCGCACTGAATAATAAGTTGTCTGTCCCTACAAACTGAGTTCTTAACCATCTACTGTAAGTTCTTGTTAAAGAAATATCAAATTCTTGAGTGAATCTTTAAAAATATTGGTTCTTAACGACACGATCTTTAAAACCGAAGATACTATAACTGGGAAGATCTACGTTGGAAATTGAAGAATTGGAGGTTAGATATGATGGGAACGAACATGCGGACAAATCGAGTCCCCAGGCAGCATCACTTATTTTAGCTAAAAAACATAACTTTAATTTTCAACATCTACAAAATAATGCTCAAAACAAAACTGACTAACATTTTATACCGTCAAACATGAGGGCTTGCCTGAAGAAATACATTAACTTCAGTAGCACAAGCAAAAACCGAAAAAACAATGCTGATTCAATGAAAATTTGCGCCAACAATTAGAGCATTACATTAACCGCAGAATTTTAGCATACTGAAAAATTAAATTATGCCTCTACACAAAAGAAACAGGGAAAAAGCAGAACGAGGGCAGCCAACCGCCATTTTTTACTAATATGACAGACGTGATAATTCTAGCTTCATTCTGATCGGTCGCTAAGTAGACTTAGTTGAATTGCAGCCTGGGGAATCGGGACGGTGTCCTGATCTGACCGCTTCTTTAAAACCCTACCAATTGTCGATGTGATACACCAATCGTATTACGACAGTTTGACCTACAAGTGCTCAATAACCTGGCGCGAACGCTGTAAGTGGAAGCACTCCCCAACGTGATGCAGATATATTTTAGGCTAGTCAATTTTTAAAGTGTGTTGTAATAAGGTTATAACACTATATTGTATAGCAGATTAAGCTCCTTTCTTAAAGTTTTGTCTTGAAGGTAATACATATCTATCGTGGACTGACCTTTCTAAATTTAGAAAGAATCCTTTCTAATATTAATATTTAAATATTCTATAAACAACAATATCATTTACCATTTGCCAATTTTCATTCTCTGGTCAGGTTAATTAAAATACAAATACTTAGTTGACAGCAGACATGACACTTAATATCTAAACATCCGGTCTCTAAAGTCTCTCACAAGCTCCCAACTTTGGGGTACTTCCCCAGGTCTGGGGAAATTTTGGGGTTTTTGTGCCATTTCCCCAAAGTTTACTATAGTGGCTTCCCCAAACTAGGTAAAATTTTCCCCAAAATTGGGAGCTTGGGCTCCACTAATCACAGTTACTGATTTTATTACTAAGCCAGTTAATACTTAACGATAAATATGTACTCATTTATTCGATTTATTTAGACGAACTCTATATTCGCTAAGCTTTTAATTATGGCTAGTAACCCCAATAAATAAGAAATATTGCTAAGTTCTGAATCAACCAAAAGGTAGAAATCTATGATCCATATATCTGACGAATCAGTACTTGGCAAAGTCAAACATTCATCTTCTGAACTCTGTGCCTCTTATCTACAAATATCACTACTCGATTTTTCGAGTGACATTTTGTGTGGCACATACATATTTGGTGCCCTCTTGTACTAATATTTTTGTGTTCGAATAAAACAAAATAATGAAACATTCCGTCCATCTCTTCATGCCAACAGTAAGATCAATTTCGGGGAAATGGCAACGAAACCCCGAAATTTCCCTTTAACCTGGGTGAAGGTCATTTGACTTTGGAGATTTCCCAGAAATTCCCCAAACTTGGGAGATTGGGACCGGTTAATATGAAACGTATGATACCGACACACACTGACATGTTAACAGTGTACCCATCAGTATAATTTACTTAGGTCTAAAATAAAAATCTCACAAATTGCGGCGTCTAATATTCTAACCAAAATACTGATTGCTATAGTGACGACAAAAGGCAGATACGAATCTCACTTGCTGAAATTAACAATAATCTTAATCAGTTAGCATCCCCCACTCATATTCGAGCTCTAAATAATAATAAAACCTCAAACACCTCACTAAAACCGAATGAATCACTTGGTTCGTGGCTGAAGAAGCAACGAAATAAGTAGTGTCTCCCTACAATGTGGTCGCCTACAATGGCACTAACCTCACACTCCCCACCAAGCCAATGAATAGTGGCCGTCGAAAGTGTTATGCCAGTTCATTCAGTTTCAGTTTGGAAAGGACAGGAGGCTTGATGGCCTGTGTTAGTCCTGGCAGTGGTGTTCTCTCAGTTGATCTAACTTTCTTTTGAAAGAATCTACGGATGGAGCTTCGACCACGTGTTGAGGTAACGAATTCCACTCGTTGATGATTCGGTGGGAAAGTTGATAATCAGCTGACAAGCAATTTGTTCTGGGCTTGTGAAATTTTTTGGAGTGCCCTCGTAAATTCTCTGTTTTGGAAGACAAGAAAAATGAGGGCATATCAGGTGCAAATTTATCACTAAGCAATTTGAAAACTGTAATCAAGTCACCTCTAGTTCTACGATATGACAAAGGAAATAGATTTAACTTGGCCAGTCGAGCATCATACGGAAGCTTCGCTATTCCAGGAATCAGCTTATTTGATGTTTTCTGGACCTTTTCCAAAAGCTCACTGTCTTTTTTTAAGCAGGGGCTAGCCGCTTGTATGCAGTACTCAAGTTTAGGACGTATGAACACTGTATACAAAGTCAAAAACGTTCTAGCGTCGACATGAGTAAAAGCCCTGCGTATTGACCATCAAGTTCTAAAAGCTTTGACGGCTATTACACGGCAGTGTGCTATGGAAAAAAGTTGGATGAGTCGACATGCTCACTTCTGTTCAAATGTAGCTGTTGTAACGATGCTAAACAGTTTATAAATTCGAGTAAAAATATTAGTTCATTTATTCCATGTAAAACGTAAGAGACACTCAGAGACAACACATTGTCAGAATCGTGTAAGAAAACGTGGAGATCTGGGATCATATGACCGAGTTACAGAAAATAACCAGAGACATCTAATACTGTGAAGAGTATCAAACACATCATCAGCATGATGTAAATACACAAACTATAGGTCACTCTGAAGATTTAGATGGGTCTACAGATAATATTTTCAAAAAAGATAAGGAATCAAGAAAAAAAACAGGAAACATAGCGACATTTACAATTCTAGTATGGACAGTTCGACTAGTTAAGTGCTTATATATGGGCCATATGACGAGACGTAAACCAAGTCGATTTTCAAGAGGACAGCCGTACGTATCAAGCTAGCTATAAGGTCGTGCATAAGTGGTAGGGAATTGTGACTAAGTGTCGATAATCACCAGTTAGGTGCTAATCACTTGTCTTTTCAAGGGACTATATCCAAGGGTGGTGTCTATGGACTGTTTGATGATCGACCAAATGCTCGAATTTGTTTACTGCAAATCTTAGCACTCTGGGTGTCAGTCCGTGCGCTTTCGAAAATTCAAGTGGTCCTGTAGTCGTGACGTGGTGTTTAACATTTATGATCACACATGGTAGTTCCAGTTGTTTTTTTATAATGCTTAGGGTACTTATCGAATGTCTGTTGGAAGTATAGGTTGACTTTTTATTCATGACAAAGCCCATCAGTGATGCACACTTACTTACTTACTTACGCCTGTTACTCCTCGTGAAGGAGCATAGGCCGCTCACCAGCATTCTCCATCCAACCCTGTCCTGGGCAATCCTTTCAAGCTCTTTCCAGTTCTTATTCATCCTTTTCATATCTTCTTCTATTTCCCGACGTAATGTGTTCTTTGGCCTTCCTCTTTTCCGCTTCCCTTCAGGATTCCAAGTTAGCGCTTGTCTCGTAATGCAGTTTGATGATTTCCTCAATGTATGTCTTATCCATTTCTATCGTCTTTTCCTAATTTCCTCTTCAGCTGGGAGCTGGTTGGTTCTCTCCCACAAAAGGCTGTTGAGGCCTACTGATGCAGAGACTGCTGCTACTCTGGCTGTCTTTATCTGCATTTGTTCGTGTGTATGTGATAGGAGGGCTAGGTCATCTGCGAAGTCCAAGTCGTCTAATTGGTTCTGAGCTGTCCATCGTATGCCGTGTTTTCCCTCAGATGTCGAGGTCTTCACAATCCAGTCGACCACCAGGAGAAACATGGAGAGAGTAGACAGCCTTGTCTTACTCCGGTCCTTACTTGGAATGCCTCAGTCAGCTGTCCTGCATGCACTACTTTGCACTGTAGTCCATCGTATGAGTTCCGGATAATGTTGACAATCTTCTCAGGAACTCCGTAGTGTCGAAGAAGTTTCCATAACGTTCTCCTATCTACACTGTCAAATGCCTTCTCATAATCAATGAAGTTGATGTAGAGTGACGAGTTCCACTCAATTGATTGTTCGACGATGATCCGTAGTGTCGCAATCTGGTCTGTGCACGACCGATCCTTACGGAATCCAGCTTGTTGATCTCGAAGTTGAGCGTCTACTGCGTCTTTCATCCTGTTTAGTAACACTCTGTTGAAGACTTTACCTGGTATTGACAGTAGTGTAATGCCTCCGTAGTTTTCACACTTGCTCAGATCTCCTTTCTTTGGAATCTTGATGAGGTGTCCTTCTTTCCAATCCATCGGCACTTGTTCCTCCCAAATCTTCTTGAATAGAAGATGAAGCATGCTTGTAGTTACTTCGATGTCTGACTTCAACGCTTCAGCTGGTATATTGTCAGGTCCTGCTGCTTTCCCACTATTGATTTGTCTGACGGCCATTCTGATTTCTTCTGTCGTTGGTGGATTGACATTTATAGGAAGATCTGTGTGTGCTGCTTCGATGTCCGGTGGATTCATTGGAGCCGGTCTGTTCAGGAGTTCCTCGAAGTACTCTGCCCATCTGTTCCGCTGTTGTTGAATCTCAGTGATTGGTCTTCCTTCTTTGTCTTTGTCTGGTCTCTCTGGTTTACTGTATTTCCCTGCTAGCTTCGTCGTATCGTAAAGCTGTCTCATATTTCCTTCTTTTGCAGCTTTTTCCGCCGTCGTTGCTAGTTCTTCCACATATTTTTGCTTGTCAGCTCTAATGCTCTTCTTCACTTTCTTGTTTGCTTCTATGTACTCAGCTTGTGCTTGGACTTTCTCTGCTCTTGTTCGACTGTTTTTAATTGCTGTCTTCTTGTTCTTTCTTTCTTTGATCCTGTCCAGTGTTTCTATAGAGATCCATTCCTTGTGATGATGCTTCTTGGGGCCCAGATCCTCATCACACGTTGAAGTTAATGTTTTTGATGCCTTTCCAGCTATCCTCCATAGTAGTTTCTTCTTCCTTCAGTAGGTCCTGTAAGGCTTGGAACCTGTTGTTGAGAGCTACCTTGAATTCATTGAGTTTGTCAGTATCTCGAAGGAAGGCTGTATTGAACCTTTGTGGTGCTGTTTGTCCAGTTGTCCAGTTCTTCTTTAGCTTCAGTTTCAATTTGGCCACAACCAGGTGATGATCTGAAGCTATATCCTCTCCTCTCCTGGTTTTTACATCTTCCATTGTCCTTCGGAACTTTTTATTGATGCAAATATGATCTATCTGGTTCTCTGTGGTGTGGTCCGGTGAGATCCATGTAGCTTTGTGTATACGTTTGTGTGGAAATATTGTACCGCCTATGACCAATTTATTGAATGCACACAGATTTGCAAATCTTTCCCCGTTTTCGTTTCTCTCTCCCAGTCCATGTAGTCCCATGATGTCTTCATATCCGGTGTTATCCATTCCGACTTTGGCGTTTAGATCTCCCATCAGAATGGTGAGGTCCTTTCTTGGGCACTTCTCTATGATTGATTGCAGCCTCTTATAGAATTGATCTTTAACGTCGTCGTTGCTATCATTGGTGGGTGCATAACATTGGATAATGTTCATTGTGATCCCCTCCTTCTTTGTTTTGAATGATGCTTTGATGAATCCAGTGATGCATAACAAACGACTAAATTCATCAGTCACGGCCGCTGTTATCGTGTGGCGTTGAAAATGTTTCCCGGAAGGTTTGGGGTTGACAAAACTGCAGAAATTCCTGAAATGTTTAGATGATTTACCATAGGTGTTTTGGTACACATGCCACCTCGGATTATCTGTTCCTCGTGGTTTCGAAGCAGACCTTTCTCGTTACAAGTTTCTTAGAGGAGTTTTGGAGCATCTGTGCTCATGATAAACGTCGAGAAAACGAGTGAGAGTACTATAGAAGTCCGTAATGTCATTTATTGTCGTTTGAGGCATTTCCTGAGCAGAACAAACCTCGATGTTGGGAGTTATAGTGATCTCCACAATCGATCGGCAGATGCAGTTTGTCCATTTAGGACGTTATTTTGGAATGAAGACGACAGCCCCTTAAACCTGCTGGGAAAGCTTAGATAAGTTATCTAAAGAGGTCCTAGTCGAAAGTTCATTACCCAATGACCTACCACATACTTAACAACATTCCTGTTATTGAACCTTATTGCAATTCGATATGTGGCGGATCAATACAAATATTAGATTATCTTGACTCAGTTAATGCTCCTAAATGTATACAAAAATAAGTTAATAGAACACAGAAAAAAGTTATACAAAATATATAAGAATTACTTGCTATTGTTAGAAGGGTGAGTGTTTACGGGTCGGTATTGAATATTGTGACTGATATTGGTCAACAGTTGTTTTGAGTTCCATCTCAACCGTAGGAAAATGGCCCTTGCTTTGCCAATCCTTGCCGTTACCTCTGCATCGGTTTCTTGTTCATCGATGGTAATGTCCAGGTATATGAGTTTCTAATTTTTCGATAGTTTCTCCATCAAGTGGGTTCGGGTTTAGGGGAAGACAAAGAGTGTGTACACCTACGACATTGTGATCGGTTCTGATCCATGTCAACCACTCTCTAACGAGTGGTTACGATAGTCGCGCAGACCCCAACCAAGTAGTCTATATCTATCAACATGGCTCAGACCAGAAGTTATCGACTTCAAGGACTGATGCTACTTTTTGGTTTGGCCACCCCTAACTAGTGACAAGAGTTGCAAGCAATAAATTATGTTTAGTAACAAAGCCTGAAAGAACCTAGTAAGCGGTAAATGCCTGTTTTTTTTCAGAAGCACTAAAATATATCCGTAAACGCTAGACACTCATTTATCTACTTACTATAAAGTATTATTTAATGCCAAATTGAGAAAATGAAACTCAATGAACACAAATGATGGTTTGTTCATTGAATGCTTTCAAAGGTTGGATTGCAGTTTGATGTTAAAGTTGCGGATTATATTATCTGGTTCCAGTTCGATTTCCAGATTGTCTTAATTTAAAGCTTGCTTGGTTGCTGATTGCTGTCTATTGCTTTTCTTACTGAATATAAGTGCACTTTGTGTTCTATTTAGCATCCTCCCCTAGCACATAAAATACCATCTGATTGGACGCGAACCGTTGCAGATCTGTAACTCATTCGAAGCCTCCAGCTATCACCCTCTAGTGTCAACTATCAGCTTATAACTTCTAATGGTTATCGATTACTTTCAGTGTTGTGTGAGTGCTATATACCTCCTGAGCTGTCGACTCACTTCTGTTGTTACTTTCCTTTTCAGATTCTCTGCTCCCCACCCGCGCAGCTTACAAGGTACCTTCAGGCTAGACACAAACCTACCAAAGGCTGGATATTTCAAGTCATATGCCTCAAGGTTTGTATCTATTCTATCTAGCTGATTTCCCCAAATTCCTGGTAACTTTATATTTAAGAGAATCGTATTAAATGTGATCTGAAAGTCAACAGGATATTAATTACAGTATATCAAGTACCATGCAGTGCAGAAATTATACCAAGGTATTTGGAGTTGACGAATACTGACATAAAGTAACATCATATTTGTACGCTTCGTTTGATTTACCGTTAATTTCGATACTTGATCCCGTCTCGTGTTTATCGGGTTAAACAGTGAATTCTTGGATCTTGTAGAAGTATTGAAATCCAGTTTGGACTGGAATATATCATTAAACAGCAACATAATGTTACAGAGTTCTAATGATTTGTAATTTAATCACTGAACAAATCTGTGCATATGAAAATGTTTTTAGGGGTTTTTAAACGCTTTCGAGGTGTTCTTAAGTTTTAGGTTAGGGATAAGTAATAATTACTCGAAAAATGTTTCAAATAATCGTAGTTTGGCAAACAACTACTTGTTTAACATTAAATATCTGTGAAGTAACTCGAAAAAATCGAATATTCTTTATGAAATTCATAGTTCACCGAAGAGCCTGGCTTTTTTATAATAATTCCTTCTAATGTAAGTCCTACCATTTAGCTGTAAAAAATAACTGATGAGTTACATACTTACACCTGTTACTCCTAATGGAGCATAGGTCGCCGACCAGCACTCTCCAACCCACTCTGTCCTGGACCTTCTTTCCTAGTTCCATCCAGTTCTTGCTCATTTTCTCATGTCTTTCTCCATTTCCCGGCGTAATGTATTCTTTGGTCTTCCTCTCTTCCTTCGACCTTGAGGATTCCATATGAGGGCTTGTCTTGTGACGCAGTTCGGTGCTTTCCTCAATGTGTGTCCTATCCACTTCCAGCGCTTCTTCCTGATTTCTTCCTCCACTGGGATCTGATTTGTTCTCTCCCACAGTAGGTTGTTGCTTATAGTGTCCGGCCAGCGGATCTGAAGTATTTTGCGTAGACAACTGTTAATAAACACCTGTATCTTCTGGATGATGGCTTTCGTAGTTTTATAGGTTTCGGCCCCATACAGTAGAACTGTCTTGACATTTGTATTGAAAATTCTGACCTTGGTGTTGGTTGCCAATTGTTTTGAGTTCCAGATGTTCTTCAGTTGTAAATACGCTGCTCTTGCTTTTCCGATCCGCGCTTTCACATCTGCATCAGATCCACCGTGTTCATCGATAATGCTGCCCAAATATGTAAAGGTTTGTACATCTCCCAAATCTTCTGCGTCAATTGTGATTGGATTTGTGCATGCTGTGTTGTATCGGAGAATCTTGCTTTTTCCTTTGTGTATATTGAGACCTATTGCTGCTGAGGCTGCAGCTACACTGGTGGTCTTCTCCTGCATTTGTTGTTGCGTTTGCGACAGAAGAGCTAGATCGTCCAACTGCATCCTAGATGTCCACTGTATCCTGTACTTCCCTTCAGATGTTGAGGTCTTCATGATCCAGTCGATCACCACGAGAAAGAGAAAGGGTGAGAGTAAGCAACCTTACCTGAAACCGGTCTTTACTTCGAAGGAGTTTGTCAACTGTCCTCCATGAACGATTTTGCAGTTTAATCCATCATAGGAATTCCGTATGATATTGACTATCTTCTCAGGCACGCCGTAGTATCGAAGAAGGTTCCATAGGGTTGTTCTGTCCACTCTGTCAAATGCTTTCTCGTAGTCAATGAAGTTGATGTAGAGCGATGAATTCCATTCAATTGTTTGTTCTACAATGATCTGTAGAGTTGCGATTTGATCTGTACACGATCTATCTTTACGGAATCCTGTCTGTTGGTCTCGAAGTTGGGCGTCTACGGAGTCCTTCATCTTTTTTAACAATACCCTGTTAAAGACTTCCTGATATTGAGAAAAAAGTGATTCCCCTGTAGTTATCACAGTTGCTGAGATCGCCTTTCTTTGGTATTTTGACCAGAAGTTTTTCTTTCCAGTCTTTTGATACCTGTTCCTCATCCCAGATCTTTCTGAAGAGAGTTTGGAGTATCCTTGCTGTTACCGCTACGTCTGCTTTCAGTGCCTCTGCTGGTTTGCCACACTTGATTTGTCTGATGCCCATGCTGATTTCTTCAATTGTTGGTGGGCCAACATCGATTGGGAGGTCCGTGAGTGCTGCTTCGATGTTGGATGGGTTCAGTGGGGCTGGTCGATTCAAGAGTTCTTAGAAGTGTTCTACCCACCTGTTTCGTTGTTCTTCAATGTTGGTGATTATCTTGCCTTCCTTGCTTTTCACTGGTCGTTCTGGTTTACGGTGATTTCCAGAGAGTTTCTTTGTTGTTTCATACAGTTGTCTCATGTTTCCTTCTCTGGCAGCCTTTTCCGCCGTCATTGCTAAATCTTCCACATATTTACGTTTGTCGGTTCTGATGCTCCTCTTCACTTGCTTGTTTACTTCTGTGTATTCAGCCTGTGCCTTGGCTTTTTCTGCTCTTGTTCGGCTGGTATTGATTGCTGTCTTCTTGTTCCTCCTTTCTTGAATCTTATCCAGTGTATCGATCGTGATCCAATCCTTGTGATGGTGCTTTTTTTGGCACAGAACCTCATGACATGTTGAAGTGATTGACTCTTTTATCTCTTTCCAGTTTCTCTCCATAGTAGTTCCTTCTCCATTGAGTAGATCATGAAAGGCCTGGAAGTTATTGCTGAGGGTTCTCTTGAATTTATTGAGTTTGTCATTATCCCGAAGAAGAGCCGTATTAAACTTTTGTGATATTGTCCGCCCTGTTGTACAGTGCTTCTTGAGTTTCGATTTCATCTTGGCGACCAGCAAGTGATGATCTGATGCTATATCAGCTCCTCTCTTTGTTTTCACATCCTCCATCGTCCTCCTGAACTTTTTGTTGATGCAGATTTGGTCGATTTGGTTCTGTGTGGTGTGATCCGGTGAAGTCCACGTGGTTTTGTGGATGCGTTTATGTGGGAATATAGTGCCACCTATGACCAGTTTATTGAAGGCACATAGATTTGCGAATCTCTCACCATTTTCGTTCCTTTCTACTAGTCGTGTCGCCCCATGATCTCTTCATATCCCGTGTTTTCCATTCAAACCTTGGCATTTAAATCTCTGATCAGAATGGTCAGGTCCCTTGTTGGGCACTTCTCGACGATTGACTGCAGCCTATCGTAGAATTAATCTTTAGCGTCTTCATTGTAGTCGTTGGTAGGCGCGTAGCATTGGATGACGTTCATTGTAATGCCCTCTTTCTTTGTTTTGAAGGAGGCTTTGATGATCCTTGGTCCATGAGATTCCCATCCTATAAGTGCATTTTGTGCTTGTTTGGACAGCATCAATGCAACTCCTTGTGTATGTGGGGCATTTTCTTCTTCATGTCCGGAGTATAACAACAGCTTCCCTGAAGCTTGTCGTTGTTGTCCAACTTGCGTCCAATATGTTTCACTGATCCCAAGCACCTCTAACTTGTATCTACTCATTTATGCAGCAATTTGGAAGACTCCCACATTGTACGAGCATTCCATGTACCTAAATAAATGGTTGCTCTAGTTGTCAGAAGGGGCATCGGCCTTGTGACTTCCGAAGGAACTCGGCTTTCATCATGAGGCATCATAACTCTTCTAAACAAAGACCTTCTGACTTTCAGGGCAGAGTTTAAATGGTTTGAATATTTTTTTTTGTTTAGCGTTTTTTAGCGAGTTAGTTTTCTACGGGGTGGGGTCGCTGACCCCATGCTCAACTCTCCTTCCTTATCCTGGCTTGGGACCGGCAGTAGACCCCGGAGGGACTCCAGGCGGAGTTAACTGATGAGTACACCCTCAAAATTAGGTTGTGCACCTAGGACAGTAAGCCATATGTTACATCATTATATACAAGCACGTACAAACCATGGTAACTGAATATTTCGCTTTGCTTAAAGTCTCAACCTATGACATTCAATTTTCCTGTCCGTGTGTTCTTTTTTGGTCTTATCTTCCCTTTCAGTCTAGAATGCCGATTTTTTAAACGACCTATGCTTCCTTATGATGTGTAAACATCAGTAATTTTTCATATTCTTCCCTCATGTTGAGTACCTCAAGAAACTACATACCTCCCATTTGGTTAAATAATATTTACACTTCGTAATTTTCAACTATTGAAACCACTTATCCGAAAATTTTAAATCAAATTATGAAATAACATTGGTTTTTAGTTCTTATACTATTTGACTTAGTTAATCGTTTGCTTTTATACTATTATAGTCTCTCGAGCTTTTCATGTTCTTTACATTGATTTTAGGTACTTCAGATAACTCCTGTGGATATGCTGATCATATGGAAATTATATCCAAAGCTGTTCAAGAATGGGATTCCACATTTATTTCATTCACAAAGTCTTGCAAACATTTATATGAAAGTCGTAAGGAAAATAATCTACTAGTTGATGTCCAACCGTGTTTTTCGTTACCAATTCTAAACGAACTCATTGAAACACGCTTAAGTATTTCCATGAAATTAGCTGTTGGCAAATACCAAGAAAAATCATTCGATGCCAGAGACAAATTTAATCATTCAACGGATCATTTATTTACTGCTCTAAATTCATTTGCCGAGGCCGTTATAAACCATTACGTTCTAAACACTCGCCTTCCTAAAGTTGTATCAATTCAAAATATCCTGAATGTAATAAATTCCTTTAAGAATATGTTGGCTGATGAGTGCGATGCAATCAGATTATTCCACTTTAAACAGATTTTTATTGATTCATTTGACACTAACGACAAATGGACCGATTACTTTCTGTCTAGTAATTCTCTAAGTAAACGTACTTGGTGTAATGATTTTATTGTACAGTTAAATGCGTTGCTAGATTTTTTGATATAGGGCTGTCGATCTAACTATAGGTTTTTTATTTGGATGCAGATGTTAGTGATGGTAAAGCCCCTGCACAAAAATAATTTTTACAATTCTTCTGTGGTAAATAGCTATGGAATAAATAACAATAGTTGATTTGTTCTTTTAATGTGTCTGTTTGAAGGATGATAAGATTTATTTGTGATCTTTTTTTAGTGGATCTTTAATCGTAAAATTCAGTGTTGCCTTCTGTCAGTTATCATGAACATAGGGCGTAGTACAATTGTGCCTCGGTCCAACAGGTCATCAACATACCAAAAACTTACCAACATAATTAGCAAAAAAGTTAAACAATAAAAACACCAACCGTGTCGAGAAGAATAAACACGCAGGATATGGTTCAAAAAGAGACATATCATGTAAAATCTTCAACTATTGGAACCCTATACTCTTTTGCCTTCATAAAATGATTCGGATGTTTGCCAGTTAATCCCATGTTAGAGGGATTAGAGTTTGTCAGCAAATCATCCACATGGTCTCTATGAAAGAAAATGCAGGGTAATCAATGTGAGATGAATATTAAGTAAATTTGTTCCGAGCCACAGATTTTGTACACTATCGTCACTTATTACGCTTTCACCCCACATTTCCGATGTAAGTATCAGCCTATCCTGTCAGTTTTTCCCAATCAGTTAAAAATAACGTACCACCAGCCATAGCATATCAGTACAGTGCAAGGAACGTAAAAAGAGCAGTATTACAAGAAAGTCGAAGGAGTAACATTTACCCCCGTAAAAACTTAGACATAAAATATGGTTTAAAAAGAAGTAAGGTTCAAACCTGTGAATCATTGTTTTAGGTCATTGTTGATATGGCTGTATTAATGGAAGCACGTAAGACAGGGTTGGGCTTAACATGTTTTAAGTTAAGAGTACTTAGGCAATACAAAAACACATGCCCATTGAGTGTTTCTTCAGCATTATATTTTTAAAAGCAGGGTAACCTTCATCTGGACATTAAGTTTGTTTGTATAAAGTGTTTTGAATCTAGAACTTGATGATGCGTAAAAAGGAGGAATTTCGCTTATATATATAGGCGGGAAATATTTACATACCGTTTATTCATAATTGAGTTTTCAAACAATTTGGTTCCATACTAGTTATACCTGATAGATTACATCACATTTATTTAGCTTTAAGAAAGATTTCTTAAAAATTGCTGAACTCAATAATGTTTGGATTCTTGCTGTCGTGTTTGATGTGATTGTGACAAACAATACTCGTACTATCGCTAAAAATAAAACATGATACTCTAAAGGTAAATTTATGAGTTAATCACTGACCTCACTTTACAACTACTTTCATAAAATGAAGTTTTTTCTGTGCGCTTGTTTCATTGTGCCAAGTTGTTCGGTTTATTAATATTTGTTTGTTTAGGCATCAGTTTTATTTAGTAAATAGCATCAATTTGCCTACTTAATAATCGAACTATGTGGTCCGAACTTGTTCAGTCTACATCCATATTAAGACTTTGCAACTGAAGCCTAAAGCATCATATTCAAGCATGTTCTAGATTGTTACGTTGTTGTCATAATGTACCAATTTGATAATTTTCCTGTAGATCCAGTTTACTATTTCAAGCATAAATCACTTTGTATTATCCTGCGGTAAACCTATTAAAATGATTACTCAATTGTCTTCCAACGGTTAAAAAAATAGGAAATTCATCTGTGATGAGTTTTATTATTATATGAAAAGTACAACAGGAACAAATTATTTTGATGGTTTTGTCGTCTGATGTATTGTTTGTCTATTCATGTTTTGTTTTGCGTAAGCTGCACTTCTTAAAATATAATTTGTTTGAGTCTCTGGCTTCTTAGATCTCTCTAAAAAAGAACACGTGGTAATCACGTTGAAAACATCTTGGTTAGTAGACAGTATGTACAAATATAAGACGTCGATTGTCAGTGCCAAATAGGTTCTATAAAAAGTGTGGACTAATCATTAGGCTGTGTTTCGCAATCTTATGACGCTGTAGGACTAAACAGATATAAACATTCAGTAAGATAGTTTGTGAGGATAATGTGAGACAGAAACTAGAGAAATCTTCAGCCCAAACTTTCCGTATATCTCAATGCATTTTTCATCTGAACCGAAGCTCTTGGCTCAGTTTGTGTGTGGGATTTCGGATTTATAAATCTGAGATTCCAAATAAATTGGGTGTCTAGTCTAGTCGGGTTCTCAGTAATTCGTCAGATGGCATTATTAAGTGGTGAAAGTCAATTTGAAAACTTGTAGACTATTTAGAGACATCTGGATAGCATCGTTAAATATAAAGAGAAGTATTTGACGATAAGAGGCATAAACAAACTCTTAAGCTAAATTTTGTAGATAAAGGACTGTTCAAAAATGTCTCATCTTGTGTCTTCAGTGTTTCTGTATGCTGTCTGATAGTCTGGTTCTTATAAAATTCCATTCATTGGTTGTTCTTGGTTCACTAAGGAAACAAAAATTAACATTATATTAAAACAGAAGAGTAATGGCGGGATAAAAAGTTGAGTTGTCTTAAGATTGTGGCTAATGATTAAGGCATGGAGTTATGGATCAGACTCTCAAATGTTTATTTAGTTACCATTCCATTCAATGACCATGTCAGTTGAGTAAATCTTGTGGTTTGGCTGATTCACGCTATGGAAGCATAATTCACAGTCTAGAAGATGATTTTGTTAACTAATTGAGTGCATTTTTTTTTCATTTACTGTTTTTATCCTTGTCTTGGAAACCAACATCTCTGCTAATGGGTTTGACATAATATATTGGATGCAGGATCTTTTGGAATTTCTATCCTTCATAACTAGATGTTCCAAACCCGAAGACCCAAATAGCTTACTAGTCAATAAAATTCCCTTAGTCTTTCATACGAAAAATAGGATAGTGTATTTATTAGTTAAAAAAAGAAAAGGGTTTGGTCAAACCCTGAATTTATAGTTAGCTCGTATGGAAAACCACCACACATACTATTCAATGTAAACGATATTTGATTGTGCACTGAACTGGGTGGACCATGTTTACATAAATAAATAATATATTTGTAATATCCCAATGAGTAGAAAATTAGATTTTCTGACGTTTCGTGACTTGGTGTAAGTCGCTTTTTCAGAGAATATGTTTATATAAATGATTTACGGATCGGATTAAAGCTAATCAGTTGGAGATTGACTTATGAACATTTATTGTAATCCATAAACCAAATAAAAGACCCTAGAAGGACATCACATCATAATATTTAGAGGTAAATCTAATGGCTTTTACATTAGAACGAAGTCTTAAGTAATCCGTCAGTAGAACTTGTTATGAAGCAGAGAAAACCATTATTGAAAGAAACGAAATTCATACTTCAATAAGTGGCCAAATAACACGTAATTGATCGATTTACATCCGGTTTTGGTTATCGATTTACATTTGTCTATTCGGACAGATAAGTAGTATTAGGAAGGGGCGAGATATGTGATTCAGTAATTTGTTAGTTAAGATAGGCAATCTATTATCTTTTTTTAATTACATTCTAACATTAAATTACTGATTAATTACTATTAAGTACTATCAATTCAATTTACTTATTGATTGGACTTTTAAGATAACGTACCACATCGCATATTTTGATGTCATTCTAATCAGTGTTTAGTGCAAAAAGAAGTCTCCGAATACCTTCTCCCATCCATGTTGCATCGAATTATATTGGTCTGGTTTCGTAACAAACATTCATACCACTAGCAGTATCAACATTGCACATAGAGAGGAGTAAAGAAACAATGCCCAAATAATGGTGGTTGAATATGCGTCTAAGTGATTCAAAAAACAATGAATTCCAAATCGTCTAATTAGATCAGGTGCAGGTCACTCATCCTTCTCTTTCTAAATCTAATGGGAATGGATCATTTCAGTGATTTAAGATAAGATTTTGTAACCTTTTGTATAGAAATTATCTAGAGCAAATGGGAAGTTCTGTTGAAGCCTAAACCACGGGAAATTAGAGCTGTGTATTCAAAGACACATCAGTGGAACTACCTTGATAACACCGTTATAAACATCAAGAAACTTTTGATTGGAGATTTTTTCTTTTGATCTACTTAATCTTCTCATAAAGAAATGAGATTAATTTTTAACCAGGGCATATACTTTTGATAATCGTCTTCACAACATAATATTTAAAAATAAATATTTGAAACAATGAAATTAGTGGATTTAACGATGTATGAGGTCATAGGATCTCAATGCCAAAGATTTAGCCGATACCTTTCAAAAGACTTTAAAGTAACTTCTACTTACTTATCGGTACATTAACTGTGTGACCAGGGATATTCAATCTTGGTAATCTAGATGAATGAGCGGCAGAACAGATACGAACTCTTTTCATTCTGGTTGGTTCTGGAATAAATAGTGTAAAACAAAAAAAGGATAAAGCCACAATCCATTATTTGACTGACAAACTATGGTTTTGTAATGAACTGTATTGAGTGGATAATTTCAGTCTGCTAAAGTATTTCATGTTCACCAAGGTTGTGTTGTGTATCTGAGTTCTATATTTCGTACAAACAGGCGACAACGTAAGGAAAAATGAAGTTGCTAATTCTATTAAAATCTAAATTAACTATAAATATGACTGAATTGAACAGAAAGTTTAGTGCTAAGGATTTCATCCAAATTCTTAGTGCCACGGCGAGTATGATTGACTAGTTATTGATTGCTTTGTGACCTTTATTTTCATTTTTAGCAATTTATTTATCAAATGACACGTAACTCAGTTAATATGCTTTGACTGAATACTTTGTACCTAGCTTTAGGTTTTCATTATTTATTCAAAAGCTCAAATGGTCAGTGATTGTCTTTTGAAGTCTATTCTGTAGAGATTTCGGAGGCCGTCCAGTGAGTATAATCATTAAAATACCAACTTATTTATCCCAATATTCAGATCAGCAATTTTAGATACATCATAACATTTCATATGAATGTCTTGCAATGGATAAACATGAAAGTTCAACATCTGCCCATACCAATCCGTTCGACTTTATTTGTTTTTACAAGCACCTGGTACATGTTCGACCATCCTAATTTCAATTTATCTATACTCCATCTTTAAACATAAAATTTTAATTACTTAATATGTTCATCTTATGAAGAAGGTTCCTTCAGGCGTTTTGGTGCTAGGAGTCGCTTAATTAACTATTTCACATATAAATAATTACTTTCAATAGTTATGTTTCGTAAATAACAGAGATTTAAATGCAGTATTATTTTATTCAACAAAATTTGGCTGTTGATGAACTAGCTGTCAGTGAATTGGGATATACCATCATTATTGCGCATTATTTTACCTCTAACCTCCAAATCTATATTATGGTACAGATAACTATTCGCATTTGGTACTAGCCTTATAAGGGTAGGAGTATATTAGTTATACTGACTATAGTTTATAATTCTTTGTACAGAAAAATATAAATACGATTTTTAATTGTATATTGTTTAATTTTTGACTCCTATGCTAAACACATTATTGTACATTTCTAGGTTATAGTAAGAGGTTTTAGCTCATTGTGTATGCTTAAGTTGACTATTACATTCGAAAATCTTAACATTACAATTTCAAAAAGTCCTCAGCCTTTTTTAATCGTAATCAGAAATTATTTCCTAAGAAACCATTCAGGGTAAGTGATATCTAATTCGTGTTTGTTTTTTAAGCTGTACAGTATAATAGATATTGCTCGGAAAAAGGCTAAATGTTTAGGTTGGATGTTATCTCAGTCTTGTAGTATTAATAAAAGTTTAAAAAATTCCTAATTTGCCCGATTATTGGTCGAACTTGCCAGCTTCATCCTGTCATAAAATACCCATCTAAACACTGTTAAAATATTGGTTTAATTTCAAAAGAAATCCAACGTAGCTAAGAAACATAAGGTAGAATATATTGATTTAAAATTTCCTAATTTGGTGGTTTCCAAAAAGTTTAGCAGTAAATTTTATGGTAGATAAGTCTAGTAAACGTTTTAGCAGTTTGCATGAGTTCAAATAGTCAATGGCTACCTCTCATGATTAATAATGTATTGGTAACTGACTTTTTGTTTATTGGCGAATATACATACCTCCATCTTGTTTGCTAAGTATAGGATGTTTTGGACAATCATGAACAGAATAAATATCATTGTTTGGAACTGGTATATTGGACCGTCGAGGTCCTTGATGAATGGGACATTGGGTTGGTGACTGAGCCAGTTTTCTAGGAAGAAAAAAGAGTTGACAGATAAAACCACTAACGAAATCCATTGTTGCATGTTGAGAATATTGAACAGTTTGTTCAACCTGTATATTTACTACGTTTTTGATGCATGAAATGGAAAGTCGAAGGATTTACCTGTTTGATGCTTTTGGATTTGCTACCTAGCCAAACTTTTTGGCAAACACGTGCGGTTGTTATTCGCAGTGTTATGCTCTCATTAATAGTTACAATGCATTTGCTAATATACTGTTTAGTAGTTAAAATAAATACTTGCAAAGAAGATTCTTTGCAAAAATTTGGTGTATAATGGTTCCCCAAATAATATTGTAAAATTCAAACTCTAAAGTATTTGGTAAACAGAAAAAATATGAATATTTCAATAAAGAGAACATATTTCAGTGTACAAATATAAATAGATATATACTAGTAAGTTTGTAAACAGCATAGCTTATTCTAATAACTGTCAGAAAGGTACTGTTCTTCAGTGGATACCATCAGTCTCCAACAAAACACTGACAAAGTGCAGATAGCCAACATCATTATTTATTCTTAATTTGAGATACGAAGGCTAGCTATGAGTAAAAATATTCTTTTAGGCTTTATTTTTTACTGCTTTTTCATAAGCTCAATCTGGTTAGTGAAATGACCTTTATCGCAAAAAGAAATGGATCTTATTTATCAATATCTAAAAAGCTATACTGGATCGGTAAGTATGCGGCTAATCATTTGATTTAGCGCTAATATTTGTTTACAACACGTAAATTTTATGCTTCATTCTAGTCTGAAGATAACTTACTTCAGACAGCTAATCGCGGAAAACTTAGTAGAATTCTACATCCGTTTTCTACTTGTGTTGAAATTATCGGTAGTACAGATCTTCATTACCTAAAAGATTCAGACCCAAGAATTCCATGTTCGGCTATTAGCAAGATACATTTAAATTAGTGAGTGAGGTTTCTAGCGATTCACATTTTGGATAGCACTTAAATATAAGTTCGTCATCATTCACAGTCATCAGTAATCAATGTAGAGATCGCAACGCCCGTGAATAGAACTAAACATGAAATGAATAATCTCACGTTGTTAAATTTCATGAACAAATTTCTAAGTTATAAGTTAATGTCCTCTTTAAGTTGTATAGTTAGATGGCTTAAAAAGGATGAAATTATTTACGAAGATTAGTTTATACCAGCTGCGTGAATGACGATTTCAAAATCTGATTTGTGGTCTATCTCATGATCGGTGTAAAACTTCTACTTTACAAAGTCTTTACTTTCATCGTCCTGGTATAACTTGATTATCCCTTAGGCATAACCTTGATAGAGTTTGGAAAACTAAATTTTTCGTTTTCAAGGGAGAAATTTAAAGCGATTTATAATAAGACAACCAAGATAGATTTCTTAGGTCAATTAACAACACATTTTTGTTTTTATAAAACCAATTAAAATTCCATTATTTAAACATTTTGAATAGAGAAAATTAAAATGATGCACCTGATCAGCAGTGGAGTTTGATACCATTTTTAAGTGTTGAATATTAACTAGCTTCTCGAACTCCATCTTGTAAAGCCATCCGATTTTATTATTCTAAACCTGAAGGAAGTGATGTTACGACTTGATGTAATGTACTTATATGTTGAGTTAGGCTTTACGATATGATTTTTGCTTTCTGCTTAATATCCTTGAGATAAAATTTCAAACAAGTGTACACAGCTTATGCTCTGGTACGGTCTAGCGTAGGGAAAGTTCGCTCTCACTCTCGAAATGTTCTCACATGGCCACTTGAATGCAACCACTGCCAGAGAAGTCCTACTCACTATCTTCTTGCATCAGGGGTATTGTTTACGAAATTGAGAGGACGAAAAGCGAATATCCGGCGCTTTAACCGGGGTAGTGGACACGGGGAATTTACCTAGGGTAGTTGAAAAACCCTGATTTCAAATCAGTGGTGCACATAGGCTCCAGTATCCTAAAGGAACAAATGGTGTATGAACCAATTATTGGTCACCGGCTACCATGGGACTGCATCTCCTGACATTGCTCCACTGCCTTGTAGATTGACCTTTTGATCAAAGGCTCCGGGTGTAACCCTCTAAGAGAACCACCTGCTTTGGTTTGACTACCCGGGCAGTATCGCAGCCGTAGCACAAATCAATGATAACTGCTACTGGCCTCATTGTTATTGTGTGGCGTATATATATTTGGTGCCGCCTTGTACCAATATTTATGCATTAAAATAAATAAATCATGGTTTATTCATGATATACAGAAATATGTATATATAATTTAGCTGAACTAGTTTTTAAATTACTTTTTTACATTTGCTAACTCTCGACTTAGTTCTTCTTGTTCTCTATTCATACGTTCTCTTTCTTCACGTAATACTGACTGAGATCTGGCTAAGATAAGATTCTGTGATCTGAAGTTCATTAGAATAAATGCATAATAGTGAATGAAATAATTAAATATTATCAAAACTATTTATAATGAACTACAGTGACATCGATTTTGTTATCAATATTTAATTAGTAATTATCACTGAAGTATATATATGATGATATAATGCCAATATTTATTTGATAAGATCAATAGATTATTTATATTTTTGTTATATTTGGTCGTCGCAATCGTTATATCTGGTAGTCGCTGATTCTTGTACCGGAAAAACACTGATCACTTATACTCGGAAAGAGGGACCTCTGCAATTCCCACGACGCAAAAGTAAGAACACAAAGACTAGTATAAGTGAAGATTTATTAGCCCCAAAACACTATGACGACGATAATGATGATGATGATGATGATGATGATGATGATGATGATGATAATTTAGAAGAAAATACACTCATTCATATATTGATAGCACACCTATTTGATTTATAATTAAGATGAAATCACATATATGAAAAATACTCAGAGTTATAACAAATCACATACTGAGCATAGTTCATGTCAATGGAATGCAAGAATATCGTATATTATACAGAATAAAATATCATACGAGAAAAGAAAAGAAATACTACATTGAGTAATCATTACATTGAATCAAAACGGGAGTAATCTTGAACAAACTCATAATAAGTAAATCAATCGAAACTTGGCTTTTCTTTCCATCATATCAATTTTTGAATGTTTCATAAAAAATATTTCTAATAAATTCACACTTCATTTTATTCTTTCCAAATATTGCTTATGGTGATTATATAATTTAAAATTTGAGTATTTCTCTATCAAACTTGAAATGCTAACTTATCGGATATAACTTACGATATAATAGGAAGTGAATTATCAGTCAACTCAGATAAAATAATTATTAATCAGTTTGGTTCAGTACAAAGTACTTTAAATAGTGTACAGTTAATAAGGTATCATTAACATTCGTTCAGTTATTAAGTTGCTTTGTAATTATTTTAATTATTTTATTTTAACACATAGATATCTGTACAAGAAGGCACCAAATACACATGCGCCACACAAATCTCATTTAATTTGTGTGAGGGCTATGATACTGCCCGGGTGCCCAGACCGAAGCAGATGGTTTTCTTAGGGGGCCACACCCCGAGCCTTCGACCTGAATGTCTGACCCACAAGGAAGTGGGGCATCGTGAGGAGATTCAGTCTCATGGTAGCCGGTGACCAACGATTGGTTCATACGCCATTTGTTCCCGCAGGATACTGGAGCCCATGTGCACCATTGGTTTGGGATCCGGTTATAGCGCCGGACATTCGCTTTTCGTCCTCTCATTTTCGTAAACAACAGTAATGCCACGAGAAGGCAGTGAGTAGGACTTCCCTGTCAGAGGCTATATACGCGTGGCCATGTGAGAGCTTTTAGAGAGGGAGAGCGGACTCTCCCCACTCTCGGCCATACCAGGGCATTTGGGGGCTATATTTGGTGTAGTATAATTTCAGACTACTAGTTTGATATCTATTGTTATTTATACGTATGTTGTTGTTCTTATTTCGAATAAATTCTTCCAATATATACGTAGATTTCACTATGAGAAACGTTGATTAGAATCGTTTTAGCTCCCAATATTCTGCAATATTGGTATATGAGCAACATAAAATAGCCCACAGTTGTTTACTGTACTAACTGTGTATGAATAAGTAACATTCTTCATTTGAGATCTAGTAAAACTGAATGTTTTATACGATGTACAAAAATGTCCACCATGGAAAATGAAAATAATCTGTAAAAATCAAATATGACAAACGATGGATAACTCCGCATACATTAAAAAAAATTCTGTGATACAGAATCTAAAGCGTTTGTTTCATCATTAAAGATGACTTAATTTTGGAGTAAAATTTATTTATACGTTTCATTTCATTATCATTACCAACTGAACTTATATTGGCAAAGGATTAACGCGAAAGTTACTTGTATTTAAGTTATTAAGAATCTTAACAGTATTACAAGTGTTAAAGTGTATTACTGAAATAAGATCAAAAATTGATTTGTTTTCTCATTTAAAATGATCTAAATTGTTATTGTCTTATTTAATGATGACCAGTTAAATCGAAAAAAAGCTATCACGTCATCGTATAGGTAAACTCAATGCTTTTATAGCTGACAAATGTTCATGGCCAATTCTGTACATTCTTATTTGCTTTACGATATAGCAGACAACTAGTAAGCTTGGTAAAATATTTTGTGTATAAGTATGTAACTTTGTTAAATAAAATGGTTCAATCCTTGCTGATAAGTTATTTCATCTATTGACATCCGTTCATTGGAGCATTGTAACAATGATTCAATTTGTTGATAGTAGTCAATTGATCAAACTATTCATATCAATTCAAGAGATAAATAAGTCAACACAATTCATACAATATTTTCCTTTTTAAATAAACACATTAGATAAGCTCAGTATAGATTTACCTTCAGTCTATAGTTCCAGTTATACATATAGAAATAATACTCTACTCTTTAAAATACCTCACGTTATTCGCAAATATAAATAGGAATGGGGATTTGTAGAGATTTAGTCCTAGTATAGAGCTTTTCAGCCGTCCAGTGCTTCCGGTTCTTCAGTTGTGGTCTAGCTTAGATCGACTCATGAATTCAACAGTTAAGACTAACACAATCATGTGCTTTCTGTTGACTAGCATTAGGATGGATTTACTGAAATCGTAGTGAGAAGCTGTGATTAGTGGAGTCCAATCCGTGCCTCGTGAAGGCAGTTATACACTTGAAACAATAGATGAAAGGCCGCGCAAGATCATCGGTCGATTGAAATCGGACATTAATACCGCTAGATGCCGGCTCTGTGGTGTAGAGATTAAGTGTTTGCGCACGAGTCCAAAAGTTCTGGGTCCAGGTCACGCATGCGGAACGTGGTTGTGAGCTACTGAGGAATCTTTTACTAGGACAAAACAGCCGTTCAGTACTTTCAGGTTTTCAATGGTGGTCTAGCTTAGACTGACTCATGAATTCAATTATTAAAATACAAATAAGCTTAAGAACAATTATTTCGATTCATTTAAAAAGCCTTTCATTATATTCATCCGATAAAAACTTTTAAAGATCGTATTAATAATTTACAGCCTTTATAATATACAAATACTCATTGACTATCTGGACTAAAAGATAAAGATAAAGATGTTTCAACTTAAGCTTATTTCATAATATTCACTTTATCAAAGAGATACCTTTTAAGTTCATCTACTTGTTGTTTCAATTTATTGTTCTGTTGTTGCATTAACTCTTGGTCTTGATACAACGCTTGCTGAGATTGATTAAGAGTGTAATTATGAGATCTTGGAATGAGAAAATAAAAAAAGAGTAAACTATCTATGATATTCAAAAAGGAAAACACTTAGTTTAATCCATTTAGACAATTATAAAGTTTTTGATTTAATGATACAACAATTAATTTTATAACTTCAATGAACTAAAATTAATCAACGATCTGTTTTCATCTGGTGAGCAGACAGTTGGAAAGAAAACAACAATAACTGATCCGTTTCATTAAGATAGTAAGACAGAATACATATTAAATAAATTGATAGCAAATATTTTGCCGCCATTAAGTTAATTCAAAAAATGAACAAACATTTCATTGGTCTTGTTAATAAATAAATATTCAAAAATTGTGATAATCATGAAAATCTTACTTTACGGTTATATGTACATTTAAAGTTAATAAAAACTTCATAATTATACTTCAAAACTTTTACCTAATGATTTGTACACTGAAGAGCTTCATTAAAAAATTAAAATATTCTGTATGAATATTTAATTGTTAGATGATTTAATAAATATTACAACTTTCCTATATGAAATAGATGAAATTTTGTCTGGCAATGTAATCGAAGATATGTGTTTCGTTCTATTCTAGATTCATCAGTTGGATGTACTTGCAACTCAGTGTAGATATTCACTCTAGGATTTGAACTTAGTACCGTCAGCTTTAAGTACTAACGGATTATCAATTTATTTATGAAGTATAAATATCTATTCACTAGTGCATCGGATATAAATTTTGGTTTTTATGGTTTGAACTGATTGAATTCACTCAAAGTATCAACAACGGAATAATCCAAACGAATATGTTCCTGAGAATAGTTGTTCAAGTAAATTTAACTTATATTGAAAAAAAGCTTAATAACAAGGTAACCGTCCTCGTGAATCACAAGAGATATTTTTTACCTATTTCTATTACACAAGACAAACATTTTTAGAAAGATTATTAATAAAAAAGGTCGAATGCTAATTCTGACGAAATCTAGTTTATCATTAGTATAGTCACGTTGAACACACCAGACACTTAGCTTATCTTATTATCCATAACTGACTGAACATCTATAAATGTTCAAATAGATTTACTAGTCAATGTACAATTGTTAATAGTAGTAATTAGCAGGATGAATCGAATAATCCAGTAATATGTGATAGTCAACGCTTAAACATTCAAATAGATTTCATCAATATTGTCACTTTCACTTAACAGAATTAGAAACAACAGTAAACAATCGAATATATAAACAAATACTTTGTAGTATCTCATTTTTGAAAACAGTACTGATTAGCTGCTTCAAAACAGTTCATTATTAGATATTTATTTACATATATGAGATAAGAGATATTGGATACGTTTACCTAATAGATCATATGATAAGTAAAGTTTAACATATTTTCCACCTTTTTAAGTATCAAAAAAAACTATTAGGATATGAATACATCACCCTACAAAATACATCTTTATAAAATAAATATCTCTTTTATCATAGCACAGCTTCTTGGATAATAATGTTCATACAGAGCAGTTTCTTAACTTGGTGTATAGATTCAGTGAACGAAAAGTCTTTTATCTTAGTTATAAGAAATAAAATAAACATTCATGATGTTTTTTCCAATGGATTTATTAAAATCACTAACTAAACTATAGTAAAAATGAAATGATAAATGTGAAACATCAATAACTTACTTTAGAATTTCATTTTCTGCTCTATATTGATCCAAAAGGGCGTTTAATTTTGCATGCCATCTGAATGTCGATTCATTGACTTTTTCATCCGAACCTTCAATATATTGTTTTTCACGGTCTGTAACAAGATTTGTAATCTTGAACGAATGACAATATATATCATTATAAATTGACTAGTAGATAACGTCCATTCTATTAAGTTTAGTTACAAATTCTTTCAAGTTGGATAGCAACAATTTCATAAAGATAATGAATATGTTTGTAAACAATGTTAATGGAAATGATCCAAGTCAGGGGAACTAAGAGATATCTATAGTTTGTTTGTTATCTATAGACTGTAAAACTAAAAGTTTTCATAGCGAAAATTTTAAACCAACTACAATTAGGAATTATAACACCAGTACATTAAATAAGACAAAGTGTAGGAAATAAATATGATAGAAAATATTTTTCATAGAACTCTTAAACGGATATAATGCATTGCAAAATAAATGTTCTTTTTTGAATCATATTTTTGAAGTCTAATAAACTTCATTCATTTAGTCACCTAAAATAAAACTAAGTATCACTCTTTAATGAGAGTAAAGGATATCTGTGCCCCAGCTTATTGTCACGTTGTATTTCGATTAGCCTAAAGTAATTCCGAATTCCGAACGATTGAGAGACTTTTAATTACAGAAGATTTATACAAACTACATTGATCGAATAACTGATAAACTACAACACGTTGACATAAGTAACCCACAAGCTAATAAGTGAGTGATGAAACTTTCAAGAACGTTTTCATATTGTCAACGGAAGTCTTGCCAGGAAAATGTCTTGATAAAACCTTGGGAGAATAATTGCATTTGAGTTTATCCAGTTACATACCGACTAATTTAGTGATTAGTATTTTCAGGATGGAAATTTGTGGAGATTGTAGCTATTTAAACCGTTGGATTTGTTATCCGATTCAAGCTAGACCACCATTGAAAACCTGAAAGCACTGAACTACCGTTTCGTCCTAGTGTGTGGCTCTTCGGCCGAGTGCATCCACAATCCCTGACGCGAGACTTGGATCCTAGGTTTTCAACAGGGGCCTAGTTTAAACTGACTCATGAATTCAACTGTTAATTTTATTATTTTAAAAGTTGATCAAACTAAATAAATGTTATCTGAATGCGGAATTGTATGTCAGGTTATATGTCTGGTTTTTACTGTCCAATAGATGCACAGTATCTAAACATTTTCGGGAAGTCTTCCGTTCATTTGGTGAGCGAATATTGTATAAAAGTGTAATTCTTACTGAAAAATTTATTTTAAATATCTGAAATTATACATATCTGTTTTCTGCGAAAATGCTAGTTTAGCTCATCCCACGCAGCACACAAATATGGTGTCAAATATTCACAAAAGCCGCCCATTCAACGAACAGAAAATCCCGAACACCGCTGGCTTATTTAATATTTAAAATTGAATGGTCATCTCACATAAAATTCACAAAGAATTAATAGAATTGAAATTGAGAGAACATGCTTGTAACTCACTATTAAATGACTACAATATTAGCAAAAATTAATCTGTGTTATCAAGTTACTCTCTAATTAATAAAAAAATATTCATAGTTACATACTTACGTTATTGTAGATAACAGTTTAAATCTATTGACTGGAGAACAATGATTTTGACAGAACATAACAAAACTACTTTTATCAAAATTTATATTTCGTCAACTCTATTACCATTTCACTTATATCAACCAGAAGTCCATATAAAGTCTGCAAATTCTAGTTCATTTGGTTATAAAATTTATATTTGTAACCAACTATATCAGTCAGTTTCATTATAGCATATTCAGTTATAATTGTCTAACAAAAGATCATTAACTGATCAAAACCTGCTTAATCGATATTCAAAGTCGTTACTTTGTTTCAGAAATATATGAAATTAATCAATTTTAAGGGATTCCAGTTAATAATCAAATTGTGTCACAATAAACATTTATATGAAATGAATTATACACCCCCCCCAAAATAATAATTCTATTCAAATAGTTAAAATTATAGAGAACACACTTTTATCAACCCAATTTTTGTATTCTTCTAACTGTGTACGTAAATTTTTATTCTCTTCCTTCAATTGATTTATTTGTTCACGTAATTCATCTAAAATCTAGACAAGAGTAATTTTATGTATATATTTTTCACAAGAAAAATTAATTCAACACAATTCTTAAAAGAAATTATTTATAATATTAAGAGGTTAGACTGTAATTTATGAACGACCTTTGAGTGACTCTTAAGTGACTTTGAGAATGTCCACCTACTCACTAGGACAAAATGAGGGTTATAAATCATTGTGAGGAATTAGAATTATGATTTACAGTGGATAGTTAGTGTTAGGAATTAAATTTAGCGTTTTTATCACGTACTGACATCAGCTGAAATGCCAAAACGCTATTTAGTCAAGTGTATGAATCAATTTCATTATCTTATATTTGATTGGATCGTCCACAAATTATAGTTCCATCGTGTTTGATGAGTTAAGCGTTGATGCTAATCATAAAATGATTATGTTATTGGATAATAAGTCAAAATATTTAGCTATATTTTGATATATCTTTTTTATAAAATAAAAATAAAGCTCCAATCGAACTCATATACCATTAAATTTTTTATCACATTCGATTATAGCTGATCATTTTACAGTTAAAATATATTCCTAAGACTAAAAGTACTTGTCATCGTTTAGAGTAATAGTGAGAAAATAATGTTGTTATTCAATCAATTTCAATGCAGATACAATCATGTATGTAAGTTAGTTGGGAGTGTATCTTTATTGATGTGCATAAATGTAGTCTATGAAGATTATTTGTTACTTCGAATAGTGATAACTGTAGCAAATTCAGAAGTTTTAATGGACCACTTGTACAATACATGAAAATACTTTTAATTCTAAAATCTATACGGTATTGCAAAATATATCTAGCTTTATAGTAAAACACGCACCGCAGAAATCGAATTTATTTAAGTGACCTAGGATGGAAATGAACGCAGGAAAAATAACATCAAATGTCACAGTTTTACATACAAAACCCTTCCAGTCTGAACATCCTGAAGTGTAATCCTGAAGGCTTCAAATCGTCACTACCATTTTTTTTATTAGGTACAAACGACCGTAACTATTGTAAACCTTTATTTCTTTCATGTAAAAACTGTTTATGAGGATTCAAATAGAGGAATAAATCATTAATTTTATTATAGACCTACACGGTAAAGATTGGTTATTTGCTTTTTATAACTTTTTGAATTTTTTACAAATAATTCGTTTTGTACCACTGGTGTAGCCTGTAAATGCAATAAATAAATAAATTTAACAGAAATATAAAAAATAAAAAAACACTTGTCCTGTTCCACTTCAGTCACTTACATTATAGAACCTAGAACACATATGGATCGCTTCTAATTACCACACTATATCAGCACACAGAGATTTCGGATTGGTGTAAGCTTTAAAAGCATCAGAGTTCGTAGAAAATTTTAGGCGTAAAAGATATGATTCAAGAAGAAAACATAGATTCCTGGATTTTAAAATATTTTGAAAAAATTAAAAAACTTAGGATTTAAGGGAAGATAAAGAGGTAATGACCATGCTCCATTAACAATAAATCTGCGGCATTTTACTATATGAAACAGAACGAGTGCATTAGTTAAAAATTACGGTCAAATTATTATACATTACCGAGCCAATCATTACTGATAAATTCTCGCTTGGTTGGTAAACTCAACGGAGTAATCATGAGCATAAAAATTTCACATTCTGGTGTTGTTCCCAATTTAGCAATATAGTATACTTTCAACGAATTTCATTTTAGAAGAAAATATCTAACCAACTTATCCTAATGCTTATTTACTTGGAAAATCTTATATTCCAATTTGATGCCTAAATTTTATGCAAGAAGGTTAATCTTAGATAAATCTCCATTGATTTGTTATTCTAGAAGATTGTAAAATCAAACTATCAACGCTGTTTTGTTTATATCATCATTATTTTTGTGTTATTGAATTTGTGTTATTGGATATTTGAAATCAATTTCATATTTATCAAAATATTTGTAACAGACAAAAAGAACGTTAATGAGTTTTTATGTTGACATTTGAAATGAAACGGTTCCGTTAAACAATAAAATTACTTTCTAGCGCAAATATAAATGAAAGTAAATACAGCTGATCATAAAAACGAAATTGACTAGCGAGAAAACAACTTATTTTTACCAATATTTTATAATCTATTTACTTCAGTTCATTATGATCCATCCATTTTCGATTTTATTGGAATTAGTATCTAAGTAGACTTGAGAAATGTAACGTTAGCTTTATTCGAGTTTAGTATATATATAACTGTCTATTACCCTCAGGTTTTCACTAGTTTTTTAAGTGATTTGACTGTTTGACGTAAATGATCATCGAACTTAACTAGTCTTCTCAAACCTCGTAAATCAACAATGTAATTTAGTTATTTTTAGATAACTCATGTTATACTACTTTTGTAATTGACTAAAAGAAACTATATTCAACTGATAGATTGATTACACGCACTTTTTTTACTTTTATCATGTTTCACTCAGACAAAGGTACTCAGAACAGTATAATATAAGGACTTGACAGGATTTCCAACTTAGATCACTTAAGCAAATAAACTCTAGTCATCATGAAATAAACATGACTTCAACTTGTAAATTTCAAATTCAATAAATTGAGTTAGAGTCAGTTATTAATATAAATGTGAAGGGATTTTGTGGAGACTGTAGTAATTTCAATAGTTGAAATCATAGGTCAAATGAAGCTAGACAACCATGGAAAACCTGGAAGTACTGGAAGGCCGTTTCATCTTATTGTGGGACTCCTCAGAAGTGCGCATCCACGACCCCGCCTCGCGGGATTCCAACCCAGGATCCATCAGTCTTACACGCGAGCGCTTAACTACTAGACCACTGAGCCGGCACTCAACGGTGTTAATGTCTAACTTCAACTAATCCACGAGGTTGAGCGACACATCCTTCATTGTCATCATTGAGTTACTATCTCACAACAAATCCGGTTGAACTGCACTAGTCACTGCTTCTCACTAGAACTCCAGAATATACCTCTGGAAGCCAGTCACTAGTGAGCATATGTTGGTCTAGCTTCAATTGACTCATAATTTCAACTATTAATATCAATCTGTTAACTTAGTTATAAATAAACATATTTAAAGAAATTATATTTCGTTAGTTATTCTAAAAATAAAAATTCTTTTGAAATTTCACTTTTCTAAACAGATTAGTCAGAACAGTTTGTATCGAAGAGATGAAGTTATTTTTCTTTCCAGATTACTTTTGATCATATATCGAATGATAAGTACAAAGTAAAACAAAAAGCGAAAAACTCAGATATTCATTTATCAATAACCTTAGACTTATTTAAGTACTATAACTAATTGTTAGGGTCAATTAAAACTCAGTAGGTATCAATAAATTACTAGAATACTTTGTTAACTTCTTAATATTTATCAGTTCATAAGATATTGATGTATCAAAAAATCAAAAATAAATATCATTATATAACTTACTGTAATAGTAAATTGTGTATTACCAATTAAATCATTGATTATTTGTGTTAAATTATGATCAACATATGGAGGGTTTATAGGATAATGACTTCTTCTAGTTTCATCAAGTATGAAACGTTCTGAAAGTAGAAAATTAGTAGAATAGATATGAAAATAATTCCATTAAAATGTATTGAGAAATTATTTCTCAAGTCATAATGATTTCAACTGTAGTGAAGTTAAATGAAAACTTTATGTATTGATATAAGTTAAAGTATAGTTATTAAAGTAAAAATCTTCCAAGCATATTGAATACTTCTAATTGATATCCCATCTATAAATAAGTATTATTGTTTTTACACTTTAGATAGATGGAAGTATTATTTTGTGGTCTAGTGGTTTAGTAGTTAAGCGCACGCTTGTGTGACGAACAGGTCCTGGGTTCGAATCCCGTGGGGTGGAGTCTTGGATGCGCACTGCTGAGGAGTCATACAATAAGACGAAACGGCCTTCCAGTGCTTCCAGGTTTTCCATGGTTGTCTAGCTTCAATTGACTCATAATCTTAACTATTGAAATAAATTCAAACTGAAACAATATTCAATTTAATTATATTTTAGAAATAAGTGTATGATAAATAACAGTACTGAGTTATCTTTCGTGATATTTATATTTACTAAGCCATCAATCATTAAAAATCACCATGTTCTTTTTCTTAGAAATATTTTCGTAAGTTTAATTACATTGTGGACTGTACAAAAGAATTTATACTTTTTTATGAAGTAAAACAATCCAAAAACGCAACAACTCTTTTTTCACAGTTGAATTCACGATTCTATATAAGCTAGACTACCGTTGAACACCTGGAAACACTGCGTGGTCAGTTCGTCCTAGTATGGTACTCTTCAATAGTGCGCATCCACGATCCCTTACACGGGACTCGGAAGCGAACGCTTAACCTGCAGATCACTGAGCTGGCATCTAACGGTGCCCATTCGAATCTTTTCTGTTACAACACTATTGACTGTGTCAATCAGCGACTTCATTTTGAATTCTAATAAAAGTATCTATTCACTTAGAACAACAGGCATTGTTTAAAATCATTAACCATATACCAAAAATTAAGTTCATAGATGCCTAACGGTTGTGTCTAACCACCTAAGACTTCTGGTAGACTTGCAAATAATATACGAGTATTTTTCAGGTATAATTTATATTGGGAAACCTTTCATCAGGAACATACTAGTTTTTCTTTATCAAGTCATTGTAACATTTATTATCATATAAAGAATTGTACTATCACAGAGCTAAGAAAAATAATTACATCATAGAACAGCAAAATTCTAATTATACATACTAACTCATCTTGAATGATTTTAAATTATATTAGCCTAAGATTTTTCAACGCTTTCAGGATTCAGGATTGATTGCTTCGCGCTTACCAAGAATTACATGCTTCTAGTGTGACAATTCAATTCATACGCTTTCATTAAGGATAAAAAAAACACTAGATATGTAGTAAAAATCAATTGTGTTGGATGTGAGGAAGATACCCATTGAAGATAATTTACGATGTTCACGCAACATTGCTTGCCGATTAAATTTAGGTGTGTATACCACTAGGTCCCGTTTTATTGGGCTAAGTGTTAAACTTTCGCGCGTAAGACTGAAGGTCCTGATTTGGATTCATGATTGTACGTTTATCGATATGCACTTCTGAAAAGTCTCATGCTATGGAGAAACTTAGATCGATTCATGATTTCAACGAAGTTCAACAACCTTCGCAACCACATGCTGGTATATATTTTGTTAGTCAGTCAGTCAGTCAGTAACAACGTGGAACTTCGTACGTACGTACATCAGTTCGAGTTGCCATACCACATTAGTACAGAGATTCAGTTATCGATTCAAATCCCATTGTGGTAGAGGTACTGAAAGTATAAGTAGTGACAGGAAACGTTAAGGTTTGATGATGTTATTAAAGGAGTATAGTCCAGTGGAATATATTTGGAAAGAAAATAAAGGACGTGGAGAATTCAGAAGATTAGAGTTGGGGAGAACACAGAGAGTGGATGCACCTGCGCCATTGCAAACGATTTTGAGCCATGTCATTCAAGGTCTCTAACCATCGGTTGCTGTCATCTCGCGGTCCCCAACCAGGTAGTCTACACCTACCAACATGACTCAGTCCACTTGTCAGTGACTTCATGGATTTGTGCCATGTTTTGGTCTGGCCGCCCCTAGCTTTCTTCCAACCTACTCCTACACCATAAAACATAGCACGTCGGGGCAGTCGGTGGTCGGGCATGCGCAACACATGTCCCAGCCATCTCAACTGATTAAGTTTCACTACTTCCTCAACTGATTTGCCATCCCTACCTAGTACCCGTTTCCTAACAACTGAGTTACTTACTCGGTGGTCCCAGGACATACGAGCGATGTTTCGAAGACACCTATGGTCAAATACTAGTAACCTACGAATATCCTCTACTCTTACTGGCCATGTTTCACTACTATAAAGTAGGACGGAACGAACTGCTGCGCAGTAAACACGTCCTTTTGTTGATAGACGGTTATCTCGCCTACGCCACAAATGACGCAAGTTGGCAAAAGCTAGTCGAGCCTTCTGTATCTGTGCTGGGATTTCGTCACACACCGAACCACAAGAGCTGATAAGACTTCCGAGATAAGGGAAGCGGTCGACACGTTCAACTACTTCACTCCCTATCACTAGTTCGGGTGTCGATGCAACCCAATCCTGAAGCAACATTTTGCATTTCGAGGGAGAAAATCGCATGCCGAACATGCTTGCATTGTTGCTTAGAGTGGTCAGCAGACTCTGCATTCTGTCAGCGTCTTCACTAAATAGTGGTCAGTACTAGAATATATATGCAATTAAAAGGCTATTCAACTATTGGGATTTTTTAATTTGCTATTAACTGATTATTAATAAATACCAAAATAAATATGTAGTATGTTTATTACAACACAATAATTACATTATCATAAAACAATGTTAAATCAAGAATACCTTGAGTATATTTTTTTAATCACTAGTAATTAATTTATACATACCTAAATCATAAGCAGCATCAAGAATTTGATCAGTGATTTGTACTTTACTCACCGGAATTTCACGATGGTTTCTCATGTTTAAAAGATCTGAATATATAGATGATTGTACATTGAAAAAAATAAAAAAATGAGAATCTTAAATACAAATAACTTTTTCAAAAGCAGACCAATTGTGAATTCACTTAAATGGCAGAAATCAAATCAGTTCTATCAAAACTAATCATCGTGATTAGGTCAGTTTATAATAAGTAAGTATAATGAACATTATCAAGATTATCAAAAGTATGGTTCTTCATGATAATAAACACGAAAGGAGAGTTTTGAAATTTGAAATGTTTACCAAAGAGATGTTTTTCATTGTCTCTATCATCGTTTAACAACCATATTTCTGAAAAGCAATGAAATCCATTATAGATTTTTACAGCACAAAATTTAAATAAAAGTTTGTCAGGGTTACGCTCAAATATATTTAGGATGTACTGTATAAGGAACAAAATAGATCCTAAAATAGGACAATATCGCGATTTTTCCGAAATAGGTTTTTAATAGGTGTGAGCTACTTCATAACAGATTAGATGTGTTAAATTTTCCAAAATATGATCATGGATGATATTGTGTATTTAATTAGTACTAGAAAAAGGGTAAGTTCCGTTAACAATGTTCGGCTTGATAATTTCGGATAAATTGAAGATTAGATAGATTGTTAATAATAGAAATTATATACGTATAATATTACTTCTATTATCAGAAAAATAGTATGTTTTTATGGTTTTCTCGGTGACTGAAATATTTCATAATTGACTGTCGCTAATTCGCTTGTTAACCCTGACTGTTTTTTATATGACAGTGAATAAAGCTGCAAAAGAAAGAAATATCAGACAACTAAGTAACACAATGAAGAAGCTGGCAGAGAAATATAGTAAGCCAGATAGACCGGTTAAAGACAAAGAAATCAAGCCAATCACTGAGATCCAAGAACAGAGGAACAAATGGCTAAAATACTTCGAGAAACTCTTCAATAGACCAGCTTCACTGAATCCAGAGAACATTGAAGCAGCACCTACTGAATGATGTTCAAAAATATCTTCAGTCACATAACTCGTTCCAATGTTTGGTAATTCACGAAATCACAGACTTCTTTTTTAAGAAATGTGCTGACCTTCTGTGTCATCCATTCACGAGCATCTTTAACGAATCCTTCCCAACTAATCTCCTGTGGAGAAGATAGAGATAGTCCTAATGCCTAAGAAATTATCTGGCAATAAGAATGTAAAGATTTTATCTTTTCTCGAAACAACGGAAAAACTAATGCTACTCTCACTTCAACCTGCCATAAAAGAGCACATTTTTCCCTGTCAGTTTGCTTACAAATGTAAAAGAAGCACCTTAGATACAGCCATTATTCTGCATAATAATATGTTTAGCTTAAAAAAGGATAAGAAGTATGTTCGGTTCGCTTTATTAGATTATACTTCTGTTTTTGATGTTATGCTAAGATAAATTTTATTCAATGAGTTAATCAGCGTCAACACCGACAGCTGAATAACCAACTGGATATGCTCCTACCTCACTGGAAGAGATGAGTACACTGTCTTTTCCCCTCTTTTCCCTTTTTTTTCTACATAACCTGCCATTATCCACAGAAAACACTTTTGTTAAATATGCTGACGATCTCACTGTATGTATGCTGATTTTCACCTCATGAAATGAGTGAGTTCTTGTTTCGTATTGAATGGTGGTCTGTTTTTAATTGTCTCACAATTAACCCGTCTTAATGTCAAAATGTTAACTAAAATATGGGGCATGAGCATCACCTAAACACCCCATTGGATTCCCAGGAAGCTTGTACTAATCGATATTCTTTGATAAACACAGTGTCGAAGGTTCATTAACTTGGCGTAACTTTTTCCTTTTATCCTTCTTGATTTCATGTTCTATTGTTATCGAAGAAAGTTCTTCGTCTGACTTACTACATAAAGGGGATACATGCTTTCGGGGTTACTCGACGTTTACTCTTGCAAGTTGTTAATTCTTACATATTACCTATTACTTTTTACTTTTCTCTATTATTCTTTCCTGGGCTTTAAAGAGAAGACTTTGCTGTATTACGCAGAGTGCTGAATGCAGTTAGTAGGGTATGTGGGAAATATTTTGGGGTTATTAATAATCTGGTTGTGGATAGACATCTAAAATCTTGCACACTCCTGACAGTTGTTATCTTATTACATAAGAATCATTCACTTCATTCATATCTTTCTTCTTGTATATCTTCTATTAGAACGGGACATCAATACATTAGAATTCCTGCATTTAATCAGATGTATAAAAGTTCCACAATACTTTATCTAGCAAATATACTATGTGATGAACAGGTTGTTACAACCGATCAAGTCAGCAACTTGTATTCTAAAACATGTTCCTAATTTTTTATAAAATGTACAGATTAAAATCTTCATAAAAACACTTCATTTGATTCCAGGTAGTTTATCTACTTTATTTATGTTGATGTGGTCGGTTTTATTCCCTTTCTTTTCTTAGTTTTTTTTTTGTGAAAAGACTTGTTAAATTACTCAATGCTGACGATTCTATATTGTTCCAAAAAATATAATACTAAATAAAGGTATTATTAATAGTAATAACATATAGTGTGTGGTCACACATACATAGGGAGGAACAATCGTAATCATAACATTAGGGTGAGTGAACATGTACCCAAATGGCTGCAAAAAACAAATACAATCAAGTGACCCAATAAGAGCAGAGGATAAACATCCATCATCCTCTATTGCTAAACATATAATTGAAACAGGGCACAAGATTGATCTAAACTCGGCTTTTGTGCTATTATATAAAAGTGTACTAGGGCGTATACTAAGGTTTATTGAAGCCTTAGCCATACGAAAATTCAAACCCCCTTTGTGTATTCAAAAACAGTTTGTTCTTACCTTAAACCTACCCTGGTAATATTGACTTATTATCCAGAGTGATTAGGTTTTGAACAGTGTTCAGATTATTATTATTATTATTATTATTATTGTTATTATCCTTATCTCCTCTTACCTCATTTCCAGTCTAGTTGACCTTTATTTTTATATATAAATGCTCTTAACAAGTATATGTGTGATTAGATTGTTCGAAATGTATTGCGCTAATATATCACATAGTTCTGATAATCTCCGTCTTCTTATTACATTATCGAAATATAGTTAATCGATTCATGTGTGACACAATGTATTTTAGTACTTATACAAAATATTGTATCTAATGTTGCATTAGGTTAAACTAACTTTCGCCTCTAAATTATTCAGAATTATATATTATACTATATCATCTCAAGAGTAAGCATTACTGAAGGTCCCACATTAGAACAAATCAAGTTCTCTAGGTCTCCTAGTATTTAGTCATTCTTAAATTAATATCATTTTGTAGTGTAAACAATCTTCCATTAATTGTTTCGTTTCGTTAAGTCATATAAACCCGTATCATGTGATTTGTGACATTTAGGAAAGATCGTAATTAAATAAACATATAAATACCCGCTTTAGGTTTATTTCTATTTACGACAAATAATAAATTCTGTCAAAATTGTGACTATTTCAATACTAAAGATTATGAAATTCAAGTAATAATCTTACCACAGTTGAAGCATCTGTCAGACTACCATTATTCTGATTTATTAATTATTATATAGTATTTATATCTAATATGTTTGTGTAGAAAGGAAGAACTTTTCTAATTTAAAGAAGAGTACATTTTAATATTTTATATATCCATATATCAATAGTTGAAATCATAAGTCAAATGAAGCTAGACAACCACGGAAAACCTGGGAGTACTGGACGGCCGTTTCATCTTATTGTGGGACTCCTCAGCAGTGCGCATCCACGACCCCGCCTCGCGGGATTCCAAGCCAGGACCTACCAGTCTCGCGCGCGAGCGCTTAACTACTAGACCACTGAGCCGGCCGGCTTTCAACGGTGTTAATGTCTAAGTTCGACTAATCCACGAAATTGCGCCACCGTACACCATTTTCTTCAGTGAGCTAATAGCTCATAACAGACTTGGTTGAACTTCACTGATAACGGCTTTTCACTAGAACTCTAGGAAATGCCTCTTGAAGTCAGTCCCTAACGAGCAGATGATTATTATCAATTGACTCATGATTTCAACTTTTGAAATGTTTGAAATCTTCACAAAACCCCTTCTGATATCTATATATATTTATATCTATCCCAAAACTTACCTTTAGGATTAAACGTATTTATTTTTCCACTTTGTACAAATATATCTGTGTATTTATCTTGTTCTTGATCTATTTAGAAATAATAAAGTATATAACAAAATGATAAAATTATTAAAATTAATCAAAAATACATAAGCGTAAAATTAGGAAACACTATAATATTATTTTGTGGATGTACTAAACATTGAAAGTATTTTTCTAATAAATTGTCTTTTAGATTTATGGTCAAAATATAATCATCATTGACTACTTTAACGGTTAATTTTTTTTTGAATGGAAATCATAGCTTTCTGTTGATGCTAGGTAATGTGAATAAAAAATTTAGTTCCAAGAGGTTAACAAAAGACTGAGGTCAAAAACACACAACAATCATTGTCACAGTTTGTCACAATTTGTTGATCTTTTCATTTACATTTATTCTTTACAAAAATAAATAACATGTCGTACAGCATGAAGTTTGTGATTTTTTTCCCTTAAAATGTGATGGGTTCAGAGTGGATTACACAACGTCATTGTGTGATATATAGTCTTCTATTGAATGGATCAGTCTGCGTTCTATCATTTAAAACTTAGTAATAAATCATTAAACACAAACTAATTAATTATTTTATTTTACTTATCTAATACTTAGACCAATTTCAAAATGAGGACGTAACCTCAATAATTTGACAGAATGATAATATGCTGATTAGTAGAATGTGCTTAAAGGAAATAGATTCCTTGAAATAATAATTGAACGCTATGATCTTTTGGTTTGAGTGCTTTTAAGGAGATGACAAACGGGAGTCAGTAAAATTGATATGTTATATCGCGAGTTATTCAATTCAGATTTTATATACAGTATAGTTTGGTCAAATGGCTTAAAATTTGAAACACTGTAATTATCATATAAATATTTAATAACAATCAACTTTTTTTAGAGGTTTGAATACTTTACTGTTATTTGTTGATCAATCCATTCTATATTTAAGCTTATAGTTAAAACTGTGATGAGATCGAATTTCAGATAAATGTTCGAAGTAATTTTTTTATTTTTAATTAGTGATACTAAATGAACTTACTCAAATGCGGATGAAATATAAATGGTCCAATTAATTTATTGGAATTTAACGTTAAATAAAATATACAACTATCCGATGTATTCCGATAAGTTAAAATATCTTTTATATCTGCATAATTATGTGAAGACATAATAGATCTCTTCTTCACATAATTCTGTTCGTTGATAACATAATTATGTCTACTCAGATTTCCACTGCTACCATCAATATCGTCAACATCTTCAATTTCATCGTCATAATCATACTCCTTTTCGTCATCATTATAATTAACTATATCTTCGTCACAATCAGTATTCCTTAAATGTTTACGCCTTGTTCGACGTCGATTTCGATTTTTAGAATTATAAGCGCGTTGTTGTTGTAAATATTTTGGAATAAACTTTTTCATATTTTTTCTTGGAGAATAATCATAATCAGTCGGAAATATTCTTTCATGAGGTGATTGAAACAATGTGAAAATGTTATCACTTTTATATTTTTTAATTTTACTAAAATGATTTATTTGTGGTTCATTAGTGTCAGTCAATTTCGGTACTAACATGTACGTATCAATTAAAACTATAAAGTATGAACAAATGCAAAATAAATATGACACGTTTCAAATAATATATCTTTGCTTATTTCTTCTATTTTATGAAAATCAAATCGTTCACATTCTTTCCTCTGTATAATTTAAAATAAATTAAGGTCATTTATATTGACAACTCGATTTTCATTGGTCAGTACAAAATCAACATTTGTTTGTTTATGAAAGGCCAAATGTGAAATTTAGTAGTTTTAAAGTTAACATAAATATTAGAGTATTGGAACGTTAAAAAGAAATATGGAAGAGAATAAAAGCAAATTGATAACAAAGCTAAATTGTTTCTATGCAAGAATTTATATTATTTGATCAAATGATAATAAATAACCTTAGTATTCAAATAAAATTGTAACATGATTATTCTCTGTTCGTTGTGTGCTCATTATGGAACTTCCAGTAGATTAGTAATCTAATTCTTATATTACTCAAAAGAAGTATTGAATATCTAATTATAAAAAATAAATGTTTTTTTATAACTTATGAAAGAGATGTTCTTTAAACCTCATTGTTGCCATAAAATCAATGAATTTGGTTTAAAGAACACTATGGAGAATATGACAGACTAAAATTTCGAAGATGATTTGTATGTGCAATTTAATAAACAGGGTAATATGGTATTTTTACAATTTATTTTCAGTCGATCAGAATCTGACAAATATAATTTTCTTTTTAGGGTGAAAATATATATTACAATTAATTTTAATTTAACAATAGAGCTAAGATCAAATATCATTTAACAACTATGTTAACTATGCCAACAACTATGTTAACAACTTCCTTCGCTCTATGACTCTTGAAAAATATACTACGTTTATACAACTACATCAAACCAAGTCTGTCAACAAACAGCATCATAAACGAACATATTTGTAGTTTGCACCATTGAATGACTGAGCCAACAGAGATACTAAATTTCCTATTGAATTCATTATGTGTTATTTTGAAAAAAGTTTATTTTGTAAGTGAATGAAATCATATGAAATAATGTGCGAAAAATGATACTCAGTAATCCGTTAACTCACATGTATCAATCATCTGGAAACCGACTGTGACCCCTTTCAGTTTATTAAATACATTTAAAATAAACCGAAACGACAACTCTATATGTTGTAAATACTAAATTAAAGTAGTGATTTGGAATCCCGATTCGTTTGCAGAAACATAAAGCATTGGTGTACATACAATTGATTGATCACTGGGTGACCAATGTCATGCGTGTCTAGTTCTTATTATTCGTGCAGATCGAATGCTATCGATCATGTTGCAATGTGGCCACCAGTCTAGATGACTCGACATTGCGGGCACTATTGTAAGATTAGATGGTAGTTGGAGGTAGTCGTCAGGAAACCCTGGACCCGTGTTTCGTGCTACTTGGCACTCGTCAGCAAGGTGTACATAATTTCACGCAAAAAAGAAATACAAGCATCTGAATGTAGTAGAATGAATACTTCGTTCGTTAGTTGGAATACGATATTTGATTGAGCACAAAAACAATACCTGCATTAAATTCACATGGTATTGTTTGTTTGAATCTTCCCATTGATGTTAAGGACAGCGATTGATCAGTCTATTAGTGGTATATGTGCATACGGTGCGTATGGCCTCGATATTTCTTTTTGAGTCGTTTAAGCTCTTATGAATGAAGATGCTTCAAGGACAAGGACAGAGTTTGGATGATTAAGATGATTTTTCGCAAGTAAGAGTTGGGTAACATCACTTTCTGCGTCATAGGATTGTTAACCTTATGTCCAACTCTCCTACTTTATCAGAGCTTGAGATCAGCAGAAACAGTGGAAGAGCTGTAGACAGAGTGGATAACTACTGTATATAATAGTTTACTCAATTACTTCTATATACATTCAGGAGCATTTGTACTCTAGTCTTTACTTAATTCGTTTGTCTTTGGTCATCGAGTATAAAAATCACGAAATAACAATAGAGTTGTAGTGACCTACTTTTGTCAACAGAACGCGATTGGTTCAATGAAAACAATTATTATTATAACCAATTGTACCAGTGACTGTTTTACTGTGCTCGTTTGTTTAACTGTGCAAATGACAGCCATTATACTCACTTACTCTCCCGTTGACTTTGAACTTGTACGAATTCGGTTACGCTCAGTAACCACGCTTGTACTCCTTTGGCACGATCTCGGTATTCTTTCGATACCACGAGATCGCCAACAAATACATCTCGACTACAGCCATCATCTGCCTTCTGATATTGGCCTACGGGGATCTTATTGGTTAATTGGCACGTAGTCTTCTTGTGGTGGTGTTCATAGTCAATCGCGACTCGACACCACGCTACAGAGTAAAGCCATTTCAATCACTGTTGATTTCAATTATTTCGCTCCCATTAATTTCGCTTGTGTTGAAATAATAAAATATACTAATACGGAGGTTCGCCACTTGTTTTTGTCCTTCAAAAAAATTCTTACTTGATAATAATTTATGTCAAGCTTTCTCCATGACAGCAATGTTTTTCTTTCCCGTTTTTTCAGCCCATTATCCCAAAGATTTCATGGCAACTCAAGACATTTTTTCAGATAACGAAGTTTAATCGTCGCTTACGGATGTAGCACGTCACTTAGTGATCAAGCTGGGTGATTTGATCGTGAAGCTTTTATTATCTTTCTGAACAGCATCATAAGCACGTGCTTTTAATAAAAGTGAGCCAAATTTCACTAATAACTTTCTCGGTTGATCTGGAATCTGTTCGGTTACCCATAATTATGTAGTGATTTTCTCACGTTACCAGGACTCTAGCCTTGTTTTTGAGGGTCCTTTTTCATATTAGCTGAGAGATTTAATCGATTTCGGTGTGTCACTTTATTAATGTTCGATCACAGCCTCGGGCTTTAAAAAGTTCTGTTTTTGTTTTCGCTATGCAGTATTTCAACGCTCTTCCAGTCAATGTAACGCACGAAATCGTTCATATGGACTGATATGACAGAAGCTCTATTAAGCTATTCGGCAGCTTACTGGTATTTATTTGGATGTGGACAAAGTGGATTTTTGCATTATACTGTGTGATGTTTGTCTCAGTCCTTGAAACTCAATTTAACATTGATGCTTATGGCGTTATATTCTTTTTGGTTTCGATAATAATATGTTGGGCCAAAAGCATTCTTGGTGATCTTAATAACCTTTTCTTGTTGTTAGAAAAGCTTTTTTTCATATTGACTATCAAACTGATCCCATCGGTTTTATTAGAATACCATGAAGTAAATGAACACGGTCAAGTATCTGAACCAAATCGCGTTTCGATACGCCATGCTGCTCATCTCTTAAATCAAGTCAGCTTAGATCAGTTGGATCTCGACGCACCGATCGTTCTCCTAATAGATCTTCCCACAATATGGTTCGCGGTTTTCAAACATAAAAGCTTAGTCCTAACGTGGTTTGCATTTCTAAAATTTTTTATGTGTTCTTACGCAACAAATGTACCATTTCTGATCTAAAGAACGTATTCTGAACTATACGTTCGGTAGATTACTTTTCGTTTCGAGTGTGACCCAACTTAATAATTACCTCAAATAACAGTTTGTTACATGAGGCATGCCAGTTTGCAGGCCACGCGCTTCGACCTCCAAACAACCAAGTCCTCAACCTGAACGCGCCCGTGAACCTGGGAAAACGATCACGGTTCGGAATGTTTCTCTCATAATTACGAACCTTAATGATGGCTCTGAACTTCCGTCTAGTTTGCAAGACAACCGTGAAAGGTTGCTCCGGGGAGAATTATTCAAGGAGCTTGAACTTCCTGAAATAGTGCCCTTGACGGTCACACGGCGCACTCGGGGAAAGAACTCTATGCATCAAATTTACCCGAGGCTACTCCGTGCAACTCTCACTAACGCTACCGACGTAGAGGATATCCTACCAGCTAGTCACTTACTGAATCTGATCGGAATGTAATAACACTGCATAACATACCGTATTCTGAGCGCAATCTCATCCGAAACATCCCTGAGTAATCTCGTGAGAAGACTTTTCTCTGAAGAAATATCATTGTGCAAGTTATGCCAGAAAACACGAACCCTGATCACACAGATCTGATATTAAGGAATAGAAATTCATCGTGCAATCCTTAGAGCTTTAAAACATAATGACTCAGCAAGTGATGAGAATAAATAATAAGGACGGGGATTCTAGACTCCAGACATTGGAGATAACTGCCCCATCCTCCCATATGGTGGCTGAAACTCTGGAAACATTCCGCACCAAATAATGCCAGAATCAAGCACAAAGGCATGTTGGAGCTGACTATTCCACTTGTGGACTGCCTTGATCATAAAAAACATGTAAAAGACAATGGCTATCAACTCGAAATATCTTGTATAGGTGGGCTACCTGTCCATTCACGTAAGGTTCACACAGACAAGCAGGAAGGAGAAGCTCACGCGTTTCAAATCGGAAGTATAAACTGCTTATACATGAACGCCGCAAGTTTACCGCATAAAATGGATGAGCTACGTGAACTCAGCAATCCTAATAATGCTCATATGATAGGAATATCTGAAACTTGGATATCTTCTCAGTGTACAGACCAGAAGCTAACAATACACGGGATGTCTTTGTTTCGCAGTGACAGAAAAACAGGAATCGGGGGTGGAGCAGCCTTATACACACGACCTTGCCTGGAGGTACATCAATTACACAACCAGGAGTTTATCAACCTTGATGAATCGTATGATACTCAGTAGGATAGCATACCTCCTCGAGGCGTCCGGTTGGAATCATTTACAGAAAGTCCACTGCTGACATCGAGTACGACACTCGTTACCTGAAATGATTATCCCG